GTCCATAAAATAGGCTTTAAATTTTTTCCAGAACTCATACTTATTTTAGGCTGTCAGATAACAAGTTCACAAAGTGAAGAAACCAACTACAAATAATGCCCACTGCTCGCCTCTTGCTAAGGAGAAACTGTTATACAGTGGTTGTTCTTTCAGCGCAACTGCGTTTTAGCCTCCTTTTATTAAAAGAATGATTGCAGAATATTCTGTCGAGCTCTCTCCTTATATCTCTCTTCAACAACGAGTAAGCGACAGGATTAGCAGCAGAATTAACAATTACAAGAAAGCACACTACATTGTACAGGCTTTCGTGCATGACGCACAAGGCAGTAAAATAGCAAAATGAACTATAAACCTCCACCGCGTAGCAAATTAGAAAGATTGCGACTACAGCTGCTATCACCGAGGCAGAGAAAGTCGATCGGCGAAGTTTCGATGTTGGTCGAGGGTTAAAACGTTTTTGCGAACTAAGCCATGCGTCGCGGCGACAGTGCTTTCGGGATGTTCTAACGGCATGTGTTGTAGCCAGGAATAATCCAACACAGGGGACAAATTCGAACACGGTTGTCCATACGATTACACTCACTCGTACGTCTAAGCGAATTAAACCCACGCTGGCGCAAACGGAGGGAATGAAGTAAGTTGACAACGGAATCAACCACGCTACGGTGGTCAGGATTATAGCTTTCTTAGCTGTCATCAAGGACATGTAGTGTAGAGGTCTGACAATGGCGATATAGCGATCGAGAACCATGGCGCAAAGATTACAGACTGAAGAGTAAATCATCAACACTGCGATATCGTCTCTGATCATCTCATTGCATGAAGTGAGTACAAAGTGGCATATGGCGTGTCCCGGATAGAAGGATATCCCAACACCAAAGTCAGCGATAGCAAGAGACAGGACAAATCTATTGTTAGTGGTTCGAAGTTTGCGGCTTGCGAGAATCAAGCAAATAACAAGACCATTTCCAACAACAGCTAGTAGAGAAGGCAGCCATCCGGTCATCCAGTACCAACCGCTCATATTGAAGGAGGTAGCTTCGAAAAAAAAAGAATTAACACGACCTGAGTACGGACTGATTGTGTTTCCTATGGGATTGAATCTTCGTGAACCAGCTGCTTCCCTTTTCAGGAAATCGAGGTTAAAATTAATGATTTTTTAAGTAATAGCAAAATCACATAATCACCACTTGCGGCAATCATTCACGATAGACGAATGATTTAGCATGAGTTTTCCACTTACTGTTATTATTTCTTTTTTCACCAAGTGTTTACGGTGAAGTCGTTCATAAACAAAGTCTATTTATTAAGTCCAATCTGCATAACAGGAGGATAGATCGCGATTATTAGCAAAACTGACGAATTCTTGGTTTCGCTACGAGTCACCATGACCACTGAAGACTCTTTTTGTTAGGTAAACTTCAGTCTGAAATAAAGTACATTATTCCGATACAATTAACATCTCCGCCAATGGCAGCAAGCAGTTGGACTCCAACACCGATTCACCCCACTTGCAAAAATCAATTTGCATCCCTTTCTGTCTACGACTCTTTCAAAGTTTCCAGGCGCGAACCTCAGGGATTAACGGTGACCGATTTCCGAACAAATGAGTGCCGAAGGTGCAAGCTTCTAGCTTCATACCCCGCTAGAAGTGTTTTGGATTTTAATCCCCTAAAGTCCTATTTTCCTGGGTCTCAAAGTCGTTATTTCAATTCCTTGTTAATTCTATCCTGTCAGCATTCTCGTATTGTTTTACCTTTGTTATGGGTATTTCATCGAGGTGATTCGTTAGTGTTTTTGTTCCTATCGTCAATATCAAAAAGAAGCAGGTAAAGATGCATACGGAGCGCGATAACTGTGTTATCATATGTTATTTCGTTACTTGTAGTTGTGGTGTTTATTTCATTATGTTCGGTGCCTCCCTCATATGAGGTAACTCTAGATCTGTCATTTTATATGCGTACTTTATATTTTGTTATTATATGTCGTAATTTTGTCTTTATATGTGGTACTTTAGTCGTTATTTGCTGAACCTGTGTCATTATTTGAGGTACTTTTACCATTATATATGCTGTAATCTATATTTTGTCAATATATGTCGTACTTTTTTCATTATATGTGGTACTTTAGTCATTATATGCTGAACCTGTGTCATTATTTGAGGTACTTTTGTCATTATATATGCTGTACTTTATATTTTGTCGTTATATAAATGCATGTGGCACTTTTGTCATTATATGCGGTACTTTTGTCATTTTGTCATTATAAGCTGTAGTTTTGCTATTATATGCTGTACTTTTGTCATTATATGCTGTACTTTTGTTGATATACCGTATGCTGTGCTTTTGTGAGCGTGCACATGTGAAATGACACCATCCAACACAAAGGAAACTTCAGATTACCCCTTGAGTATTTCCAGATGAGCGCGTACTCGAAATGTTCAAATCAGGTCGGAAACCCCTCGCCCACCGCCCTCGTCGTGGCATCCAGTCCCCGCTCT